CATCAATGATGTTGGCGGTGGAGCGTCTTAATATAAATTTAAAGTGCTTTAAAGTAATTTGAAAAGTTACTCCGACACTGGCAAACACTTGCAGCCTCATGGAGCAATGGAGGAGTTTTGTTTTGAATATAAATTCCGTGAGAGTGGATGGGTTTTTGCGGTTGATGCTTTGTGAGGGTAGAGATCCTCGTCGACTTTCTTATTCATCGCCATTTTCTCCCTCACCCAGCAAGTGAATGTGTTATGCTGTTTGCAAGCAGCATCCAATGACAAAACTACAGACTTGTTTGCAATTTATCTATGCTGCTGCACCAACAGGAGAACTTCTTGCCAAAAACACACTTCGTGAAAGCTCAACGTCACCACATCGATCTCCACACACTTTGTGGGTGGAGATTTTAAATTTTCCCCACTAATCCACATTTCTTCTTCCCCATTTTTTGAACCAAGGGGGAGATAATACAGCCAGAAGTGGTGTACAGCTCAGCAGAAATACTTAAAAAGTGTTGAAAAACCTTTTACTCACTAATCATCCAGATTCTCTGAATTTCCTTCGATTTTCACGCGAAAACAAACGTAGTTATATTTTTCTAGGTTATGTAGAGAATTAAAGACAGATTTAGTGAATAATTCGCATTCTAGAACATAAATTCTGCTATTCCTTGATAAAATTAAGCATTTCCAAGCAATTATCAATGCTTTTCTTTATCCTTTAATGCCAAGAAACAGTGAAAAGTGTGCAAAGATTGAACATAACCTCAAAAATAGTCATTTGGCATATGTTGGAAGTTGGAAAATATCTATTTAGACAAATTTCCTGGGCAATTTGACTGTGAATCAGCTATTTAAAGATAATTGGAGATGTTTTTGTGATCTAGGAAGCCTCAAAACGGAGTTTTACAAGATCTTCTAATTATATTTTTGAGGTTATGATCAACAAAGATGTTCAAAAACAGCGGTTTTAAGTCGATTTTTATAAAAATATCGAATGAAACCTCAAGAGATTCATTATAATTTGGGAATTGCTGTGGAAACAGTCTGAAAACTTCATGTTCTCGAAGTGTCGGGCGAATTTGGAAGTGTTTGGAAGTTGTGTACAAATTTATTGCATATAATTTCCCCCTTGTTCTGGACAAAACATCGCCGCACAACTCGTGAGAATGCCCAACTTTCCCACCCTGGCAAATAAATGAGATGAAAATAGTTAATAAAACTATCCAGTTTGATCTGTATTTCATTATAGCGCTTCAAGAGTGGTGGAATAGTTCAAAAATTTTGCATCCACTGAGTGTGTTTTCCCGAGTTGAAAGTTTTTGCAGGAGGGAAATTGAAATATAGAAGAGGAAAAAAAGTGTGAGAAAAGCGGGTCAATCCGCAAAGCAGTTTTTGGGACGGGGGTTGAATAATTTGTGTGTGGCCAAAAGAGTTGAGTGTTGAGCAAATAACTGAATTCATGCTTGAAATGTTTGAAATTGAAATTTCAAAGCTCTGGCAAATTCACGGATTTGCCCATATAAGTTTGGCAGGGAAATCAAACACAAAGTCCGGCGTTTGAGGAGTGCAATAATTCGTTGAAATTACAATTCACAGGGGAGGTGAAAAATAAAAAAAAAACCCCACAGATTAGGAAGTCTTTGTTTTGGAAGCTGAATATGGGGTGAATTTGAACAGGGAAAAGCTCTCGTCGCACAACTTATTTCGCCATTTTCCGCTCCTTTTTCTATAATATGAACCAGAGAAATAGTTTATCGGACAAACTTTCCGTCGACCCACATTTGTGCATTGCTGCAAGGGGGAGATATTATGGTCAGAAGTGGTGTACACTTCAATAGAAGGATTTGTGAACAGGAAGTGTTTCAGTAACTCCATTCTGATGCATTTGAAAGTCACTTTCAAAAGGAATAACTGCAATAATTGGAGGAAAATTATTGTTTTTTCGCGTTTTTCTAGGTTATGTTATGAATTTAAGACAAATTTTGCAACTAAATAACCTAAAAAACTGATATAATTTACATTTGCTGGCGCAATAATAATGAAATCTGATAATAGATCACAAAATTTTAATGTTAAACTGTGTTAATTACGCTAAGATTAAATCCTAACCTCTAAAATACTGTTTTGAAATAAGAAATTGCCTACTTTAAGAGCTCTTTGATTGATTTCTATTCTAAAATAGCAAATTTCACCTCATTATCGACTTATAACAGCTTCATATTCTTCTGATTTCCATTTCCAAATAAGTTTCTTTTAATGATACTTCTAGATATCTTATGATAATTTTTAGGTTATGATCCGATGTTTATTTATAATAGAAATTAAAAGTAAATCAGATCAAAATATCCACTGAAAACTTGAAATATTTCTTTAAAACTCATTTCTCCGTAAGATTTAAACGTCATAAAAGTCAAAAATTGTGTATTTTTAGGTTAAAAACTCAAAAATTTGAGGTTATGATTGAGCAACATAGGATAAAATGCATGTTTAGAGCACTGTTGACGTTCTGGAAGTGTCAGGAAGCTGTGTACACCGTTTGGTCGCATTATCTCCCCCTTGCATTGCTGACCACCTCAAATGCTCATAAATCGGCGGGAAAAATTTGTGCGGAATTAAAGCATTTGCGGGGAATGCACTTTTTTATTGTCACATGTGACTGTAAGCTATTATTTCTCTGGGGGTGTGCAGAAAACCTCTATTTAATAGCTGACAGCGGATTTATGGGCACTTTCAGTCTTCCGCTTTCGCACACCGACGCAATATAAATGAGGAGAGAAGCTCTTGTGTTTAAGAAGTGTTGGTTCAATCATTTTTAATAAAAGTCCACCCTGTGCACTTCTTCGCCAAGTTCGGCGAGCAGTTTCAACGATGAACTCCGTGGCGAGTACGTGACGAGACTTTTTCGCCAAAGACTATTGAATTTTTTTTCCCTGAGCTTTTCGGGACGTCTTATCTCATGGCCGAGGATGTGCAGAAATCGTTCGGAAAGTGGCGATTAACGGAGTGATTGACGCTCACTCTCAGCACTTCTGACCTATTATTCGCCACTTTCACGAACTCCAAATTGCGCCATGTCTCCGTCTACACAGTGTACATTGTCTTCAGCTGCTGGGCGACGCTGAGGAGGAGCCCACGAAGCAGTTGGACATGATCCAGAATGTCTCCTCGCCAGCACAAAGATAGCGCAATGCAAATTCATCCCCCAAAAGCGAGACAATTCATTCTCCTGCCTCATGAAATTCCACAATAATCCGCTGAAATGAATGCGTTCGCCCTCTCCTTTTTCTCCCCCCCCCCCATCAAGACAAGGAGCAAGACAAGGACTCATGCAGGATCACGAGTCCATTTGCCTCGAGGGCACAACTGGGTGAAAGTTTAATGAAAGTCAGGGAGACAGATAGGAAGAAGCCAGAAACGTGCAAACTCTCCATATCGAGTCACTTTGGAGACAATCACGGGCAATCTTTATGTTCTTGTCTATCGCAACAATTTGCAAGTTGACCTCAGAGACGCTCTATCGATCCACAATGCCTTCTTCTTCACATGGAATTGACAGCGAGACAGGAAGCCAAAGTCCCTCGTTTCCACTGTCGTGTCGAATATTGTTCAATGAGTGTCAATTTTCCCAGGCTTAAGCTTGGGAAACTCTTCTGATGCATATTGATGGCATTGTGCAATTGCAACCCCCGAAAAACACACATTCAACTACACTTATGGCAATTGCTGAAGAATTTTAATCACATTGAAGCACGGAGCCAAATTTTTCCACACCAAAAACTGGGTCACCATGCGAAATAAGAAAACCCCCAATTAAGTGTTTCCTCTTCACTTTTGTATCGCATCCAAAAGTTTGTGAGTAATTGAAATTTTTATGTGTATTTTGGAAGGGGGAAAAAAATACAAATCCTTTTGCATAATACAAAAATAGAATAGAAAACAGAATTATTGTCCAATTGAATGCTGGGAAGACCATAAAATTGATGGATCTTGAATTTCCATTTCAGTGCTATAAAACCGGTATTTCTTTCAATTTTCGAGACATTTATCTTAAGACAAAATTTAATCAGAATTTTATGATCTCTCAAATGGTGCTAAGATCATGGCGATATCTCAATTAGGGGTCGAGATATTGCCAAATACAAAGAGATAAGAGTACAAAGACAGCGAAAATTAAGTAAAAACATGACTTTTGAATATCTGAAAGACATTTACATCACAAAAGCGCCTTAATTTGGACTTTTCAACTTGGTTTAACGCTTTTGTTCCATTTCTTTAAGTTGCAGAACAATTTTGCTCTTTAGAAAGTATGATTTTCAGTCATTTTTCCTTATTTTAATCAACTCAAAACTACTCCGTTTTTTTTTTCAAAATACATGCTTTTCAACTGTGTTTTTTTTGAGACCCGGAAGCAAAGATTGGGAAAATGGTTTAAAAACTTGTATAATTAGAATTGTATTATAAATTAATAAAGACTTTTCCGACGTCTTTCGCTTTGTTTGCACAAGAACAGAGTCGTTAATTAATCTAGCTATAATTAATTTATGATAAAGTGGTATTATAAATATTTAAGTGAATATCCTTTCCCAACTCCTTCTCTGACAGCCTTCAATCCCCTCGACATGCATAATTATAGAGTGGAGATTAATTTAAATTAATTTTAAATGATTCATTCGTCACAAAATGCGCGTGTTGCGTTAATTTATGATGCATCAAAGGCACTTCTTTTAGGGTTGAATTACCATATGCAATGCTTGGGGTGAATTGTGACCAAATTAACCTACTGCGCGTTGTTCGCCACCGTGTTTTATCACCCTGCATGTAATTCCACTAGTGGTCGCGCGGCTGAAGGCCAATGAACCCGCCGGCAAACAAGCATTTTGCGCCACAAACCGATGCTTTGAAGTTTGCGGGCGCGAATATAATCGCGCCGCTATTGATACTCTTTCCCGCGGACGCTTTCATTAGTTGCCTGATGCGAAATGGGGGTGGATTTGGAGACTACCTACCGAGGCATAAGTCAATACCGATGGCCAGGAAAATCAACAGGTGCACCATCATCGCGGGGTCGGAGCAATTTTTCGCCATGACTGTCGTTTGTCACACACAGACGCTAGGCCGACCCTCTGGTATCCAAAATGCGGGGGTTCACGCCACTTTCACTCCATCCGCTTTTAATGAACTTGTTGATTAAATTGTTTTTGCCAGTTAGCAAACACCATTCATTCGACAAAAGTTTTACACACCAATTTTCCACTGGATCTTTTTGCCTCTCCAGTCGTTCAGTTCTGGGATTTTTGGGCCACAATCGCGTCCAAATTGGTAGTCACTTCACACTTAATTGAGCCCTGCACTGATGCATTTGCGGGGGGGGGGGGGTGGATTTTATGGCTGATTCGGTGGCGATTGTCTCTCGGGTTTCATCACCGCGAATTGCAAAAGAGAGTTTGCTTGGGGAATAGATAATAAAAAGAAGTCTGGATGCGGTTATTTTGTATGCAAAAATTACATTGTCGCGCGGAATTTCCATTATTCGCCCAGCGACAGTGAATCTTGTGGGTGGACAATGGAATTAATTCCCTCGGAATCCAATTTTCCACCTCGCAATGGATATTCTCATTCGATTCCCGGTGCCAAATTCCACGTTGAATGTCACCGGGGAGGATTGAGGATGCTGGAAATCCATCATCATCACCGGAGAACATCCGTGAAGGGTGTGTGTGTGTGTGTGCGAAGGGATAAAATGTTAACGAGACGATTACGATATAAAAGTAACAAGGGTGGAAGATGTGGCCTCGAGGGGTGGGTAAATTGCTTGAAAGTTGATGAAATGTCCCTCGACACATGTGAAAGTGTGTGCTTGTGCTCGAGAATGCGGAATGTTGGGGCGACCATTTTCATCCTAGGCCAGTCAGCCAAAGGATTTAAGGAAGAAGATTACCCCATTGAAGCCCCTTCCGCAATTCCTCCGGCATGCCACCTTCTGGCCTCAGAGCCCGGGGGAGGCGCCCACCCTCGGAGACATTTTGTCAATTTCACAGCGTCCGCTCGAAAGGACACCCAGACGAAAGAATAGAGCCATCATTGGTGAGGATCCTCTGCCATCGGCTGTGGGGCATGAAATAAAAATTAATTCCCTGTCAAACCAAAATCCAACCACTGGAGGTTATTGAATTTTCTTCACAGAGAAAACACCACCCCCAGAGACACTGGGCGCGCACATCCCCGTGATAAACGCAATGATAAGTGATTTTTCACCCTGGCGATGGGCTGTGTGGGGATTACACATGGGAAGATTAATGAAACGCAGTGACCTCCGTGTAATTCATCAATATATATTCACTGTATTGTCCTGTCTGTGGCTCACAAGCCCCCCAATATATATTGTTCAACCCCCGACAATATTTCGCTCGCTCCCGATGTCACACTGTAAAATCCACATTCGCTACATACATATTTCCTCCCGAGAGCTCATAACATTTCTGACTTTTCACCCTCCGCACCCCCTCGAAAAAAGAAGATGTTTTCTCTCCCATAAACGCGAAAAAGTTCCAATCAACATCAAAGGGAGGCAGAAAAAGAAAGTCTTCTTGGCTTCAGAGACTCTCGTCGAACCCACTTTATTCAATTTTCAACCCGAATCGAGTGAGCAAGAGGAGTTTTTTTGGAATTAGAGATAAAGTTTGAGCAGTAAAGTAAAATATGTGCACAAGTCACAATGTGAAGATGACGATGAAGGGGAGATGAAAAAATAAGGTCCTTTTCGTCATTTCTTCCAGTTCAATGAATTTGTAACGCGTGTGGATTTTTGCTGATTTTGCTCGAAAAAAAAAAAATCTCCGAGTGTGTGTGAGAGAGAAGTTTGATAATTTTATTTAGAGCTTTTTCTCCACTGGGACTCCCAAAAAACCTCCTCACACTTTATCCCATCACATGAGGTAATACCCTATAAATATCGTACAGCCCGTGAATAATGCAGAGGCGAGAAAGAAGGGAATTTCGTATTCAAAGCACAGCACGAGGCTTCACTTGCAAATATGGAATTGTACCTCACAATAAAATATAATTGGACTCGAAGTTATTATCTTTCAGAGGTCTCTTTAGTCGTAATCTTGTGCCGCCTGTGCTTTTTTTTACGCCCCGGCGACGTTTTCGCACATTTGAGAGCGTGTGAATGCTTAATTAATATTAACGAGGTGTGATTTAGCTATCTAACTAGAATCTGGGCGACTGATTTCATCCCCAAACCGGGGTGAGTGTCGAGTACCGGGGGAGAAAGTGCTTCTTTTGATGTTTAGTGTTTCACTTTTGGCTGAATCAGTGCCTTGAATTACCCTCTAATTACCAGCGAGCGGCAAGCTTAAATGTCAAGACTCAAGATGATACTCTATATAGCTCGACAGATAAAAAAAGCCCCACGAACTTGAGACACACCACACATAAATCAGAGCCACAGAGCTATTTTAATCGAGAATTCCCGGATTGCAACACTGGCGACCGACTTGGCGTGAAGCACCGAGACAACTGATGATTTCTGTGAAAAACACTCGTTGCTTCAACACAATTTTCTTCCACCGCTTATCCTTCGTACTCACATTCGTCCCCTCACCAGAACGATGTCTGTGTTGGTGCGCCTGGAAAGCTGCCAAACGTGGAAAACTCACCACTGCGCATGCGACTTCCAGTCAACCCCTCCCGATGGCAATATTGCACTTTGATGACCCACAACTCTCCCCTCATGCATCTTTTATGACAGTCAATTGCACCTTAATTGGACTATAATTGTCGGAAGCTCATACTTTCATTTATTAAATCCACCGTCAAAACCTTTCCTTTTGCAGCACATGATTTTGCATTCTGCTCGTGTCGAAAAGTGATTGGAGGATTTATTAATCACCATTCATTGGGGAGCGAAAGTGGCAATTATAGGCGATTTAACGACTTTTCCTTTAAAAGCTTTTCAAAGCGTCATGCTTTATAGCTTGTGCTCTCAAACGAGGTTTCAAGTAAATCACATGAAATAATTAGCAATCAACAAGGTAATCAATTCTCCAGAGGAACATTATGAGCACACGCGTAAATTGGGATTATCAATGTGTTGTGCTTAACAGTTTTTACGCGCCTTTCGTCAGCAGTTTAACCTGCTTAAGATGCTGTGAAAATTTCAAGGGATTTTGGATTTTCTTTTGACAAAATCGAGAAGTGTTTGAAATTGAAATTAGTAAAATGTTATAGCTTTTGATTCAACAAATTGGGGCATTTTACTAAATTATTATATTGCTTTTCTAGGTTATTTAGTTCATTTAAAACATATCGATGGGTGCCTCGAAAACTATAAAAAGTCAAAATCGCCATTTTCAAGCAAAGCGAGTTCAAAATTTTGCATTAAAACAGCTGCGAAATTTGCCAAATTTACTTCAAAATACTCAAAATGCCTTCAAATCGTTCGTTAAAGTGAAAATATTGCTCTGTATTTTTTTTGTAAATGTTTAATTTGTATTTATTGAAATTTTTGACTAAAATGTGGCAAAATTAATAGAAAATCTGAAAATCTGACTTTTCAAAGTCGATTTTTAATGGTTTTTGAGTCGATTTTATACAAAAAATCAACTTTTCATACTTCACTTGAAGTTTTTCTTAATGTTTTCAAGTGAAAAAATTTAAAAGATATGAGAAATATTCATTTAAAGTAAAAAAAAACATTTTAGGATAATTCTGAAAATCTACAAATATTTTCCAAAAAAGACGTTTTTATGCATTTGACTGCAATTTTTGAGACATTTTTCTTGGAAAAATTCTTCAGCGTAAACAATGAAAATTCGACTTTTCATTCGCAAAACATGACAATATTTTTTCCATTTGTGCTTTTTAGATAAATAAGATTTGTTTCTATTGTCTCATAAGATACAAATCTTAAAATTCTTGTACAGAAAGAACAAATAAAAGACTTTTCAAAAATACATGAAGACGAAAACTATGATAAATCGACTTTTCATAGTTTTCCATTCACCCGTCGATATTTTAGCGGTTAAATAATCCTCAAAATCATCAAATATTGTTTTTAATCTAGGAATTTCTCTTATTCTCTTGACAAAATCGAGCACTTGTGTTCGAAAAGCTTCAGATTTGTCAAATTTTAGTAGTAAAAAATGATTTAAAAGTCAATCATAACCTCAAAAATGTCACTTCTGTCTAGAAAATGTGTCTCTGCTTAGTTATTTCCGCGGTTGGTGCTTTAAAGAAGCAAATTCAATCTCATTATCTTGTGGAAAATCATTTACAAGTTTCAATAGATTAAAATCAGTCCAAAAAATATTTTTCAATATGGATTCATAACCTCACAATTGGGTTTAATTTTTTTTATCTATGCATTTCCTAATGATAAAACTAGAAAATGAAGATAAAAACCCCAGAATAAATTGTGATGGAAAATGTCTTGTCTGATCTGGTGTTACAGATTGAAGGCCTAATTGACTTTGACATCATATCGAATCTACTTAAGAACGCTATCTCTGGAAGTACTTGAAAATGGGGAAGTTCAATTACTTCGCATATTGAAGCGATAAACTTCCAATTGTGCCAGTGTTTGAAGCGCTCTGCATTCCAACTGCAGGAGCAGAGAGTGATTGAGTCGATAAGAAAAATCCGACTCAAGTGTCCCTATTTGATTACTGCACACAACAATCGCTTTAGAATTCAAGTGAAGCTCATAAAATGGCTTTTCCATTGATGCCATTGTCACATTCCCCACATTGCAGGGGTGCGAATTCTTCCTACAGGGAAACTTAATGCAACTTGCTGTGCCACCCACAGAGCTCAAGAATGCCTCGCCAGCCACAGACCATTCTCACAAATTTATTGATTGCAATTCCTCCTCTTCTCCCTGGCAAATTCATTCGTGCGCCAACCCAGAAAAGGATGCCGAGGAAATTATCTCCGGGGATTTCTTTCAACTGTTAATCTCATAAACCTTATTTACCCAATGCAAATACCCTGTGATACAGTCGGGCGAGAGTTGCTATGTGGGCGGAAAGCGCGCTCTCGCTCTCTCTCGATTTAATTGAGAAATAAAATTAAATTTTAATGAATGTGCACAGACTTCGCCACTTGTGCGGAGCTTTTTTTTCCCCTGTCGTCAAACTGTGTGCTTTTTTCGCCATTATTCACCTCATTTCAATATCATCCGCACACAGAGCACTGCGGAAAAGGGTTTTTTTTCTTCCTGTGCCACAAAAAGGCGGTTAGCCGAAGCCATTATTGCTTTCTCAGACTCCTCGTCGTGCAATAAATACTGGCCAAGGTGGAATTTTCTAATTCATCCTCGTCGCGCTGCAATGATGGCATTTCATTGGCGCATTCCCTGTTGCTCCTGGACCCGGCGAGAGGCTCTCAGGACTCACTGCATCTGCAGGCGCACATCATTGGGGCGACTGGGCGGTTTGTTCGGATGCGGTGAAATATGGGCAAAAGTTTTACGAGAGCTTTAAGCGCCGCCACTGATGATGCAGGAGAGTCATAACCACAATCCGCAAGTACAAACGATTCATAAATTTTGTATGGGCGCTCGTTAAAGTGAATTTCATTTCAATTCTTGTGACTGATCTATTATTTGGCCATTTTTGCGCCCAACTTTATATCAATTTATTTTGTTGCTGCGGCGAAACACACTTTTGGCACCAAAAATTCACCCCTCCAAAATCACCCTCTTCTCTTGGCGATGCAAAAACAGCCCATCGCAGGTCATGCGATCGGGCAAAATTCAGCGCACAATTCGCGAGAAGCTGCAATTGCACGTCAATTGTTGCCGCTTCGCAATTATCGCTCACGGAGCGCATTTTCTATGCGAACATTTCAATTGCTCGTCACTTTTCTCCGCGTCTGTCAGCGGAGCCAATTAGCAATTTTGGGCTTAATGAGCTCACGCAAATGTTAATAATTTATTTCTTTTTTTTTATTTATAGAGCTCTAATGAAAATATCACCTTTCAGTATCACACGCTCGACTGCATCTGATTTTAACTTGGGATTTTAATCATATTTAATCAAAAATTGATTTTGCACCATGAAATTCGATCAATATTATTAATTTTGCGTATTCAAATAAATAAACTCGTTGAATTTTATGAACAGAAATTGGATAGGAAAAATTCCACGTGAAAAAAGGCAGTTAAAAATACTGATCTATCATCAAACTGGGATTTTATATTAAAGCCCAATTCTATAATAAACCGGAAAATCATTAATTGGTGCGTTTCTTGCGATTCTCACTAAAACAGAGGAATATTAAACTTCAAATTCGTGTGTATTAGTGAGTTTTAAACGATTCCACATTGAGAAATTTGCCAAAATTATTGAAGTTCAACAAAATAATTAGAAAATCTATATAAAAAATAATCAATTGTGATGAATTTGGTGAAGTTTTTACAAGGACAAAGTTACTAACCAAATTTTTGATCTTGTTTCTGAGAAATATTTACTTTGAATATAGAAAAAAAAACTAATGATCACAAAATGATTATTTTCCATGATAACCATCAAAATGTTAGTATTTTCGAGAAAATATTGAAATAAATCAAATTATATTTTAAAATATTCTTTACCTATATTTAATTAAAATTTAAATATTTGACTTTTTCTTCACATGTCGCCGCCAGATGGCATTTAAAAATATTGAAATAAATTATAAATTCGAATAAATATTTAGGAAATAATCAGAAACAATAAAAAACAATCAAATATTTCAAAAAAAATTGGCATAATCATAAAATTTTTGAAATTTTTATAAAATAATCAAAATTTAAATAAAAATTACCATTTTAAGCCTTGTAAAATTCAGATGAGCAAAATCTTTAACATCCTTCAGTTTAAGTGGGAATTGATGCAAACATTTGGTTAAAATTGGTGTCAGAAGTGGGGTTTTTTGGCGATTTATGCTAAAAGAGTGAATCTCACGCCAGTGTGCATAGTAAACCGCTTTGCGCTATTCCTATGATTGCAGCGCAAAAATAATCTGAGGATGAGACTCGGGAGTGCGCTGAATACAGTCAGGGTGATAAATAGGTTGTGAATTGCGTGGGCAGAGCATTTAGTGCTAGCGAAGTTGGGGGTGTGGGAAGGTATTTGTATGCAAGGCGACACAATGACTCACTTCCGAACTGCAACACGCCGCAGAGGTTTGGCGATATCTAAGAAGTCGCGCACGAGTGCTGAATCCGGTGGGTGGCGAGGCAGGAAGCTGGGACGCCGCGCTGCAAGCTTAATTACTGCTCACCTCCAATTGCACCCGATAATCATTTTCATGGTTGGCAGATCACACACGAAATGTTCTCACAGGGCAAGGAATGTTGGGACTGTGAGTGACGCTCATGCGGAATGGTGGAACAATGGCGCTTACAGGTGGTCAATTGGGGGTGAGTTGCTCGCCTTAGTTGCATTGACAGTCTGACAGACGCTCCGGATTGACTCTCTGTGCTCTGTGCACATCGCCAAAGGGCCGAAGGAC